ATTTGCACACAATAATGTTCCACAAACAGTCATGAAGTAAAAGAAATTTTTTTCTCATCTGGGGTTTTGTTGGCAGGACATCAGGAGGTTCTCCCTTCACTTTTCAAACAATGCCCATGGTATTGATAACATTCACTTTAACAAGCAGACGGGACCTCGATTCACATGTCATTTCCAACAATGGAGCACTCCTCTTGCACAGTTTTGAAGTGTCAGTGTAAACCGTATCCAGAGCCCTATTGTAGAGCTTGAACCCACAAGTGACTCATAGGGGAATGTGCTATAACAACAACTTGCATTGATAAGCGCACTTCATGTAGGGTAGTGTCTCGGAGCTCTTAACAGTAGCGAAGCCTGGGGCCAAGCCAGGGAGAGGTGACCGGAAGCACGGTCAAAGAGGAAGATCTTTAGGCCTGATCTGAAAATTGGGAAGGAAGGAGCAAGATGGAAGGATTGAAGGAGAGTGCCAAAGTTTCAAGGCACAGTGGCTCAAAGCACAGTCGTTGATGACGGAGCAGAGGGGATGAGGGAAAACAGGAGGCAGTAGATTGGGGCTGCTCAGAGGACTGGCTGTGGTGTCCTCACGGCTCAGAGTTTTCCCCTCCCAGCTCCCCTTAAAGACAGTAGATAGATTGGGTTTGCGGGGTGTGGGGAGGCACTGAGCCCCCTTTAGCCCTAGCCAGCTACTGCTTATAACTACAGTACTTCCTACTGTGCTTGGTTTCCTCTTTGTTTGCCCGTGACCTTTTCTAGAACCACTATGGAATCTTGCCTGTGACCGAAGCTCCAGCCAGGAAACAATCTTTATAAAATAATGATCCCGGATGTTGAACTCAGATGTCAGTGACATCTTGGGCAGGTTTCACAAAACCTGCAAATTGCAATTTAGCATTAATAGCAGCTTTATAATATAATGAAGAAGTTAACAACTCCCAGTGTTTACAAGGATCTATAAGGTATGGAACTTATGCAATTTATAAAGCAATTACGTCTTTAAAAATACACATGTGGAAAACGTACAAAAAAAAAGATTCCCATGCAAATTGTAGAATTGAGGCCAGTTCAAAAAAGCTTACTGCTGCTGCGTTAGTTGTATTGCTTGAGATAAGGAACACAGTACGTTCTGAAACAAAACACACAAAATAGTGGTTTCATGACAATGCTACCCATTTTTACTGGCTTTGTACCAAATTTCCATAAGATTTATGCCTTGCAATTTAACAAAAACAAAGGAGGGGATTTCAGTTGCCTTTCTTCTCTCCCCTTTCCCTCGAGGACATTTAATAGCAAACTTAGCAGCAGCATCATGCACATTAAGCGTGTGCAATTAACATCTATGCTTTCAAGCATTGTTATAAATCTGAGAGAAATGTTGCCATAGGTGCTCTTTTACCTGCTCTGTCAATCATGGTGATCTGGGCTTTGCCACATGTCTGTTTTGCAAAGCAGCTGCTGGATTGTAATAAATACAGCATATTCAAAGTGCTGCTCAGAGCTGGGCCGCTGAAAGGTTTGCCCATTTAGTGCAACAATTGACAAAAAGGAAGAGACAAAGCAACTCCTGCTTATTTTGGAGAAAAATTAGAGTCCCAGCTTACACAAGTTCGGATCTCTGAGATTACCCTTGTGCTTTGAGTAGTTTCACAAACCAATTTTATCTTACCTTGTTGAAAAGAAATTAACTAATAAATGATCAAAATGGCATGACCTACTTGCATTATTAGCTGTTACGACACAGATGAGACACAAACGAGAGGCAACTGAATTGGTGAAGTTCTATTGTTATTTCCCTTTGCGCAAACATTGATATTAGAGTATTAAGATAGGTGTCCAGGTTGACTCATATTTCCTGTTTTAATAACTTACACAAGGTATAATAAAAGCACAGTACCAATGTACACGCTGCTTAGAGATAATTCTACGTATTAAATTATTTATTAAATCAATTTAGAAGTCCAATTACATTTAAAAAGAAGCATCACGATGCCAAGTGATGTTATTCAGTATGCTATAATAGCAACTTTGGTCCAATTTAGGAGCAGTTTTGTTTGAACAGGAGCATTTGTTTTCAAAGGGAAATGCTCAGAAGATGGTATATCATTCACATTTTCCAAATTGTTTGTTTAGAGACGATTTACATTGATCATCGGGATTCAGTCATAGAAATACTATATAAGGAGCACCAATTCAGAGTGAGACAACTCAGAAATATCCAACAACTACAACAACAAATTACATTTGTGTAGCGCCTTTCACGTCCCAAGGTGCTAAAACCCAGAGGCTGTTATACATATCCAGAGTGCTCTTTACAACACCACCTTGAATTTATATAGCACCCTTCAAGCGGGGTAGCGTCTCAAAGTGCTTAACAATGGAAGAGATTTAGTGACTGAAGGCATGGCTGATGATTGTGTGGTAGAGGGGTGAGGTTATGTAGTTGGTGAGTTAGTAAAAATATTCATGGATATGGTGAGAACTGAAAAATTGGTTTAAATAAAGTGTGGCAAGCCTGAACAAGCCTACCCCTGCTAAAAGCCCAACAAGTTTGCACAAACGTAGACATTCAGAACAAATACAAATGTTCTGGTTAACGAGGATTAAGTCACCCAGCACAGTATGCATCTATATTTATCAAACGCAGAGAGAGTATTCATTTATCACTTATTTATCATTTCACTGAAGGAGCTCTTTAAATGAAGATATACGGCTGATTTGTTTAATAGCCTCAGGTTACTACTCCCTCCCATTGGCATCCAAAAGGATTAAAGATCATTTGAGGTTAAACTTCAAAAAGACAAAATAGTTCAACACCAAGAGTTTCCCCCATTCCTTAAATTCAGCATTTTTTAAATGCTACAATCGTATCAAACACAGCAAAATAAACCGAAAGAGTTGTTTTGTAATGCAACAGCAGTCACCGAGCATCGAGACTGGTTTAACATGTTTAATTAGGATTTACTATCCCTAGCAAGACAGGAAAACACCATTGTGTCCATCTGTCCAGTGCAACATTGAAGAATAGGTCATGTTAGTACTGTATATAGTAATTATACTGCTCACATTAACAAAATTGTAAAAAAAAACTGTAAAAGACATACTGCTTGGTTTTTCGAAGTGTTCCAAATCACAACTGAGTTTGTTTTAAAAGTATTATTATTTGAACAACAACAACAAAATTACATTTGTATATTGCCTTTCACATCGGGAGGATGTCCCAAGGCGCTGGACAGTCAGAGGTACGGACCCAAGCTGGGGGTCAGGGTGGGGGAGAGTGGAGGGCAGAGGGGGAAGCAGGGAGATCGAAAGCGCGGTCGAAGGAGGGTCTTGAGGTGAGTCTTGAAGGTGGCAAGAGAGGGGGCGAGACAGAGGAACTGCAGGATGGAGTTCCAGAGGGTAGGTACCGAGTAGCGGAAGGCCTGCCCGCCAATAGTGGGGTGAGAAAGGGGGACGTGAAGCAGGCCGGAGCCCGCTGAGCGGAGGGAAGCCAGAGAGGTGGGGGGGAACAAGATCGTGGAGAGCTTTGAAGGTGAGGACCAGGATCTTCAACTGTATCCTCTGTGTGTTGGGAAGCCACTGGAATTGGGCGAGGATGAGGGTGATAGGGTCGCGGAGCTTAGTGCAGGAGAGGACACGGGCTGCAGAGTTCTGGATGATCTGCAGCCTGCGGAGGAAGCAGTTGGGAAGGCCGACAAGCAGTGAGTTTGCATAGTCAAGCCTAAATGTAATGAAGGCATGTATGAGGGTTTCGGCGGTCTGCAGTGTGATTCAGTGTCGGAGCCAGGTGACGTTGTGGAGGTGGGAGAAGGCAGAGCGGATCATGGCGCAGATGTGGGGTAGAAAGGATCGTTGAGGGTCAAACAAGACCCAAGGTTCTGGACTGGCTTAACAAGGTGGAGTGTGCAACCATGAATGAATGGTGATGCTGTCAGCACCTGAGATGAAGAGGCGCTGACAGGAGCCAATCAGAAGAGCCTTGGTCTTGTTGACGTTCAACTGAAGGAAATTCGCGCTCATCCAGGACTTGGTTTGACGAGGGATATTGTGCATCAGTCATAGGGCTGTAATTTTCACATGGATAATTTTGGGGGAAAATGATGCATCAGCTATATGAAACATCAAAAAGTCATGGATTACATGCTAAAACTTGTGAAAATGCCACACACATTGTCGTAACTAAACTATGTATCTTTATTTTGCTATATTTCTGTAAAAACACAAAATTGTAGCAAATCAAACAAAACCAAAGTATCAAAGCTCTATCTAAAAAATGATACTGTTGGGAGTCCATAAAAGCCCAAAGAGCGCTATAACCCCGGGGTAGGCTCAGTTTGGCAGTGTTTCTGCATTCACCATCTTTTTGAGTCCATTGACACATCAAAACACCAGCTGGCGTGCAGGAAGCTAAAATGATCAATTTCGAGGTCATCAAGTCATGACCAACATACATCTCCTGCAACCTGATGGCTTGCAACTCAGACATTTTGACTTCCCACATGTCGGTCAGTGTTTTGAAACCTCAAGGTATTTTGGATATTTCTGAGTAAATATTGGGGTCCCATGTATCAGGTGATTGAAAAAAATGTTTTTAAATAAGGATATGTAAAAAAATACTATTGTGATCGTAAAAACAATTCATTCTCAGTGGCAATGACAACTTTGGATCCGAATTATCAGAGCCAGGAGAATGGAGGAAATGACAAATTTCATTTGGCCTCTTTTTTATTTTTATTCATTTGCTAGCTTGCCTTTCTGCTGACATACCTTAAAATGGTGGATTGTGTGACTCCCACAACAGAAATGCAGCCTTAATCATCAGTAACACAGGAATCATTGCATTGAGGCATTTATGCAATTGTTGTTATAGTGACAAGCAGTGCTGATAGTTTCCAGCTTGAAAAGGAAAACCCAAACACTTTCATGTAGTTTTAGAGCTTCAAAGAGTATTGTTACATCAGTTGAGAACACAGATACATGGAAATAAAGTTATGCAGAAATCATACCTGCAGGTCCACTGAGGCTGGCTTTCTTAACTGCAAAGAAAAAAAAGAAAGTGTCAGTGCGGCATAAGTACAGGTACAAGCTAATAGCTTTTAAAACTAAACCTCAACACCCAGAAATACTTCTTAAAGCTATGAGACAGGTTCCAATTTATTGTGAGCATAATTCTATAAGGAAACCCTGTATAGGTAACCATTAGCACTCAAATATCATAGCAGAAACTAAAATCTGTCGGTAGGTAAAAATCACAAAGCGAGTCAAAGCATTTCCAAGATGTCTCCAGAAAACTTGCTAAACTTACAGCAAGCTAACTATTTAGTAGCTGAGTTGGCAACTATAGTTATAACCGTTTTTATCCTTATTTCCACACAGTCAAATATGGATGGGATTGGGGGGGCAGGGGGGATCAGGAAGTAAATGTAAATGGAAACACTCTCCACCAAATATGAAAATAATCAACAACAAAATGCATTTAATTGGCGCCTTTTGTGTCGAGAGAACATCCCAAGACAATCAGTCAGAGCAGCAGTGGTCCTAGAATTGAGGGTGGAGACGCAGAGAGAGATAGAGCTGTGTGCCATCCGCATACCTGGGCTGTCAAGTTGGAGCATGTAAATATTAAAGAGGAGAAGACTAAAGATGGAGCCTCGACGATGCCGCATATCGGGAGAGAAGCCGATGGCAGATATGAAATGGAAATGTTGGGATAGGTAAGAATTAAACCAGGAAAGGACAGAACCGTGAGGGTGGAGCTGAGAGGGAAGGCGGTGGCGAAGGTTAGAATGGTTGACAATGTCAAAAGCAGCAGATAGAACAAGAAGGAAGAGGAGGCAAAGAGGGGCCTGATGGAGGCTTCATGCAGGGTGTGTAGGGAGAGGAGAGAGTAAAGCAACAACTCGTTCCAGTACCTTGGAGAAGAAAGAGACTGGGAGATGGGATGGTAGTTTGGGAATAAGGATGGGTAAAGGGAAGGTTTTTTGAGGGGGTTGTTATGACACTCACATAAAACTGAAAAACAACTCAGCACAAACCAGCTTGTCACGATGTGAACAATAACAAAAAAGGTACGACATCACAGAAAGTGGGAAATTACTTTTGGTGACAGATTTTATCCAACAAAAAGCTGCTAAGATTCATACATTAAATGCATTAGAGTAGATGTTTTGCGGCTCGGTGGAATTACAATAAAGTCTCATATCAAAATGAATCAAAGCATCAGCTGCAAGGAACAAAGAGAAACACGAAGAGATAATAAATGATTTGTTGGGTATACAGTTTTCATGGCATATGAAATGCGAAGGTTCAGTCCTTTTAGTGAATGGAAATACTATTGTTTTAAACTTGCTGCACCCCAGCATTAAACAGGTTTCCATAGTGCACACCATTCTGAAACCCATCATTCAGGGTTATTGCAACTCACAGATCTGACCTCCAATCTCTACCCCTAGGTAATATGATTGATTGACAGGCACAAAGGGCTGAAAAGCTAAGGTCAGTTTTCCAGGTACTTTTGCAGGCCATCAACACGCCTCCCAAATTAAAACATTTGAGACAAACCACTCCCGCTCTTTAACTTAAAAATGCTGGATTCAGTGCAATGTACTGCAGAATTACACAGCTGTCTGCTTACATTGGTCTGCTTAAGGTTGATACTCCAACTCCTTTTGTGTCATACACACAAAACCAAAGCTTACAGTTTGTAGCAATCCATTTATTGAAGGACTGCCATCGTAATGAAAGCATATTTCATTAAACCTTTATTCACTTAAATTCACGCCACACGATTGCATCCCAGGCATGACATTTATATTGACATCTTCAGATTTTCTGGTCTTCCTCTTCTGCGTTTGAATTGTTGATTAAAAACGTTTTCTTGAGGGCAAACCCATCAACAAGTTTGTTTCCAAACATGTCAGAGAACAAGCTGATGGGAGACAGAGAATTGAATCCAGCAGACAGCAGAGTTTCAAATCTATTTGAAGCAAAAACTTCAATACAACCTAATTGCATTCTATTCAGCTGAGCAGTAAATAATGAGTGATTGCTATATCAATAGGGTCAAATGACACAAACTTTATTTTTAAACCAACATTGTTAAACGTTTGGTGCTCTGTAATATGAATTACTGCATTATCGATTTACTTGAATTTTTTCACCCTCTTGAGTTTACAGCTCCCCAGGGTGAAAATTAGTTTAGCCTGCCAAATGCATAAAGGTTCACTCTTTTAATGAATAGATTACCCACACTTTTGACTGACCTCAATTATTCCACTATAACCTTTTAATCTGCCAACTTCTCCCATGTGGAAAAGGTGGATTTGAACAGCGGAAAGAAGTATTTAAACAGGGAAGACTGGAATAGAGTAACAGAGGAAAAACTTAACATTAATTAAAAACTAATACTTTATGCAAGAGAAAGGGACAAAACAGTTAACTATACTTATCAGTTATGGGCAACTTACTTGAAACCATTATCAGACACAAAATAACTGAGCATTTGGATAAATGTCAATTGATCAGAATGATCGATCATGATTTTGTAAAGGTTAGGACATGTCTGACGAACCTAATGCTGTAGAGATTTGTTTTATACATACTACTGAAGTGTAGATAAAGGCAAATTGATGGATGTAAATTATATGAATTTTCAGAAGTCATTTCATCAGGTGTCACATAATATACTCCTAGCTCCAAGTAAAACAAGAAGTATGTATGGAAAATTGATTAAAGATAGGAGGCAAAGAGTTACAGTTAGGAGACATCAATGAATGTTTCTTTCCTAGGTATCAATGCTGGCACCCCAAATTTTCTCTCAATATATAAATTACCTAATAATAATAATCCTTGCATTTGATATAGTGCCTTATCACGTCTTCTGAGATATCTGAAACACTTCACAGAATACACTGTAGAATGAATTAACTCTAATATTTTTTGGGCGAAATGCAGCAACCAATTGCGCGCAGATGTGTCCCAAAAGGAACCCTTGAAAAAAGACCTGCCAATCGACTAACAACTGGTTTGCTATTTACTGCTAGGTAAACAAAGCCGTGTGGAGTAAGGAAACTTGCCCAACATTTTGCCCTGCCCAGGAAATGAATCCAAGGAATTGCTTGCGAGGCAAGTGCTCCTACCACTAAGCTACAGGACTAATAGAGGGGAAAATATCCCCATTTGCTGACACTAATTTATGAATTGTAATAAACTGAGGAGAGCAGAACCTTGCAGAAGGACAGACTAAAATTAAGAAAGTCGGTGGAAAAAGAGATCGAGTTCAATGTAGCAAAATGTGATGTTGGGCACAAGAATGGTACACATCTAAAATCACTGGGTGCGGGGGATTAACTGATGAAAGTATTCAAAGGGTCAGTGAGTACACAATGATAATAACAATAAATTACATTTGTATAGCGCCTTTCACACCTGGAGGATGTCCACAATTCATTAAATGTTAGTTCACCGGTGCAGAAAGATACAAAACAAGGGATACACAATCTTAAAATTAGACCAAACCAGTTGGAAAGAAGATCAGAAAATATTTCTCCACATAAAAAATTGTGAGAGTGTGAAATGTATGGCTACAAAAAAAACATAAATGCTGATCAATGGAATGGGATGTTTAACACAGAGAAGGGAAAGATACTTATATTTCTGGATAATCTGGGGTTTATGGGAGGTCAAGCAAGCAGCGCTAGCACAGAGACCATTAGAGAAATGAAGCCTGAAAATAAAATTCATTTTCAGGATTTGCATACAGGAAACGATTTTCCAAATGTCATAAATGATCCAAAACGGGACAAAGGGGGGAGGGAAGAGAGGCAAGGTTCTGAGAATAAAATCTTTCAATTCAGTAACGAACAGACACTGATCATTGATAGAGTACATCACTTAAAAGCAGGCAATGTGTACATGGTACATATCTGCAGTCACTTTTTACGCACAAAAGGCAATATTCAAAATACACTGATATCCCTAAATATCTCTGCATTAAGGAAGAGCATTATCATGGGGTTTCGCATTACGGATACATTTAAATCATACAAAGTGTGGCTCACTCAGCTGAAATCCATCTGGCTGGTTGAATCAATTTAAAGATGAATCAAATTGTTCAAACAGCAGCTAGAGTTTAAGAATCAACCACAGTTTAATTGAAACATTGGCCAGTTGGAGGTATAGGAGATTTCGCCCTCAAAATATACGTCAATTCACTTTGCAGTATATTCTATGAAGCGCTTTGAAACGCCTCAAAGACATGATAAGGTGCTATAATATAATAATAATCCTTGCATTTAATATAGCACTTTTCACATCTTCGTGACGTCCCAAAGCGCTTCACAGAATATACTGTAAAGTGAATTGACTGTATATTTGTGGGCGAACGCGGCAGCCAATTGCGCACAGCAATGTCCCACAAACAGTCATGGATTGAAATGACCAATTTTATTATTGTTTTTTGTTTTTTGGAGGGATTATTATTAGGCGTGTGGAGTGAGGAAACTTGCCCAAGGTTTCGCCCTCTGCCTGGAATTGAACTCAGGTCTCTTGCTTGCAAAGCGAGTGCTCTAACCACTGAGCTACAGGACTCAATATCAATTGCAAAGATTATTATTAACTATTATTATATGCAGGAAGAGTTTTGTGTTTCTTTAGAATAAGGGAGATGGAATAATTTTTTCAATATAAAGAGTTCCATAATTCCACCTCACCGTAACTGCAAATCTTCACTATAATTATAACATCCACCAGGTCCACTGTACCTCATCAACAAATTGAATTTATTTAGCGCAAAAAGCTGGATAAGAGTATCACTAAGGTGGAGGAGTGTGGTCCAGATGTGAGGTAGAAATCAGCCACCCAACTGGCCACTCTCTTCACTCAGCAAGTACCACTGCTTCATGTGCGCTGCCTAAATCTACTCTATCATTAGTGGGTGAATCTCGGCTATTCCTACCCCCCCCTCTCTTATACTCAATCCAGAGTTCTTCCACCTCAACCCCTCCCTCAACACCTTTGAAGCTCAACATAAGATGTA